TCGAGACCTCCCGGAGGTATCATATTTCGTTACGCGATATTAATATAACAGTTGTGTTACGGTGCATGTTATGCATTGTGTCAAAGGCTGCTAACAGTCTTTTTTAAATGTTCCTCATTAATGCAATCGTGACATGTATCTAAATTTTGACAAGCTGCCAACTTGAATGACGTGTGAAAGTACTCGTGGCAATGATTGATTAAACAGGGGTGGTCAAACCAAGAGCATTCGTCTTTTGTTACTGCTGCTGTTATCGTGTCAACGTTACTTTGATCAGGAAAGATGTTGAATTTGAATCAAATGGGTTCATTCGAGGAGTACGCTTCAGTCTCTCACGTTTACATTGTAGATAAAAGTTGTCATGTAATAACCATATTAATTGACCATCAATGAACTCCAAAAATCGATGATCATATCGAGCATCTTGGGTGTAGTCAGTTCTGCCATCCCCGTTATTCAACATATTTTTAAATTGCTCACTTTGATGCACCTCTGGCAAATGTCATGTACGCTAACAAGGCAGTTTTGATTGGATCCTTACATTCGACTAAAAACTGGAATATGCGCAAGAACAGCGTCTTCACTATCTGCAGTTCTTTCTCTTCAAATGGTCTGATTCTAGATCCAGAGAAGACGAAGGATCTTATCTGCATGATAGTAGGCATAAAAAAGTATTTAATCGGCTTCGCTGAAGTTATGGTCGTTAGCAGTTAGCTGGTATCGCAGGTACAACTTATCAAGTACCTCGGCGTGATTTTTTTTCATTTAACCTTAGTTGGTATGATAACATGTATGCGACAGCAAAGCGCTGTTGCAAGGCCTGCTTTTATGCCAAAAGACTGGCGAGACATCCTGTCCCGTGAGATGCAGTTAGGAACTTCGTATTCTGATGTATCATTTCCCTCTAGTCGTTTGGTGTTGTTGTCATCGAACTTAAGGATCATTACGAAGTCACTAAATTAACCCTCCACACTGCAAGCGACATGCCTTGAAAAAAACAAACCTGTTGTCGCGCAAGGTGTACAAATGGCGATAAAGATTCTGGATCATCCAACTCACTGAATGCGTACACCAAATCATCATTCCTCCGCGTATCTTCTCGAATCAAGCTCCTTAGGGGATCCATTATCTCAGCATTGGTGCGAACTATCAGAGATCTGGAGACTGTTCGTCAGCAGTACTTGGTTATGATCAGTGTAACAGTGTTGTATTGTTTCAGTTTCTATTCAGCTATTTATAATCGTTTCTCCGATATTTTCCACATTTATTCTAGTAACTGTATACATTATATTATTTATCAATTATCTGTTTCATGCTATTTATTTATCACTTCTTAGGTATGCAAAAATAGCGTTAGCTGTAATCCCTATAAATCTGTCAGCTGTCAAACATTCTGTCTGGTTTGACCGAACACTAGATGATGACAATAGAGTATATATTTTTAGAATTTATCGAAAGCGCCCTGATTACGCACTATCTAACATCTAGATGTTTCTTTTTTGTTGTTATGGCCGGCGTAAGGACGTTTGTCACAACGTTAAGCGATTATGCAATTTTTTGGTTTATCAACATTTTTTGAATCCAAGGCAGAGACATCTGAGTCTGCCTAAATATTGCATAGCTTCATTCCATAGACATCGAAAATCGTTTAGGCATTCTCTCATGCCTGAGGCTGAAAGAGATTCTCCAACATACTGAAATACAGGATTAGTATGCAAAATTGAATCATTCAGCGCATCAAAAAATTCTCGCTTCTCGGTACATGATTCAAAGTAACAGCTGAAAACACGATGTAAAATATCTTTCATTTACCGACCTTTAATTGCCTATCTATATGTGATGATGCTTGCTTTGCGGAATCGAAACTTCGGTAGGTAGATGATTTTACATCGTTTATTACAGTTACTGTTTTGAATCATGGTTTGGAAAGCGAAGGCCATTAATTGTTGTGTAAATCAACAAGGAATTAATAGTAGTCCCATAATCATGTTGAAGAAAAGCTTCTGTCAACGTCTGTTCGAAGATGCATATTGTTCATAATCAATCATTGTATGAAATCCAGATTTAATATAGTTCCTTCTTTTTATCCCATAGCCATTTTTGTTTTCCGTTATCTCAGCAGTGTTCAGCAGTTGTGGAAACTAATTCTGTATATTGTTTCTTGTACTGTCTTTGTGATGATATTCTACCGTGCTACTATTTGTTTCTGCCATCACGTATATCCTTAAGTAACGAATTAACTTAAAGTCTTATCAATATTGCTAGATATGAATGGTAATCTGCACAACCCTTGACATCTCTTTTTCTAGGCTGCATTGTGATGCTAATGATGTTTGTTTTAAAACAGTAGGAAATACCTCAATTCATAATCTGTATGCTGTATCGATGTCCAATTTCGTCCTGCTGCCATTATGTTAATCTAATTGAATATTATTTTTTGTATATTTTACTATATTTTATTATTGAT